AAACCATTCTATGATTCTATGAAATGAGCCTTTTTGTGCTCACTCAGATCCTGAAGAGCTCGACTGGTTATTTGTGTGTCTGTCCTACCTTGTGTGTTCCTCAGAGACTGTATCTCCAGGGCACTGATGCCTAAAATCATCCAGACAGGAGAAACCCCAGAGGGTTTGCAGTCACTCTCCTGGGGTTGATGCTCTGCAGCCCCCTGACTGCCTGGCCTGTGCTGGAAAGGGTTTGAGTGTTGGAGGAACTGAAGTGAAGGATGCACTGGAGGTGCATTATTATCTTTCCATGGGAATTTTCTAGATGAGAGAAAATTTAATTTCATTTCATGTCTCTTTCTGTATTTACATTTTCTTTTCGTTTTGAGAAAGAAGAAATTAATCATGTCTTCAGTTCCTCCCTTCTTTCTTTCCCATCTCTCTCCCTTTGTGCCAAAAATGAGAATACAAAGGGATGGATGGCAAATGTTTATAGGGAAGGGGAGATTTATTCTTTCCAGGTTTTTGAGTCTTTTCAATGCTATAGATTTAAATAATGCCTCAAGCTGTGTAAAAATGGCAACTTGAAAAGGAGAAAATAAAGTTTTGAGACATTTCAGTGCAGAGAAATTAAATAAATTCTTGAGCACTTCTTGCTGTTCTGTGTTGCAAAGGGGTCAAAGCAACAAAAAGCCAAGAAACCTTAAACTCTTGTTTGAGAGTCTTGAATTGCTGAGAGGGTTTAAGAAATCAAAGTTTCCTAATCTGTAAAATTGAATCTGTGCTTTTGTTTTGCAGCATGATTTTAGATTGCTTTTCAGTTATTCAAAATAAGATATTGAGCTATTTCTTCACTGGATATTTGGAGCCTCAAACCTGGTCTGTGAATATTTCCAGTGTCGTTACCGACTGCTGAGAAAGGCCCTGAGTGCTCATGGTGTTTTGGCAGAAATCCCCCCAAAAATCTGTGGGCTTTTTGTGGGTGTGGGGTTTTTTTCCCCCCCCTAACTGATTTGAACCACACCTTGGTGCCAGGGGAGGGACAGCCCTGGGAAGCAGCCGGCTCCTCTGTGAGCACTGCTGAGGCTGCGGCGGGGGCGCTGGGACTCGCCCAGCCGGGTGACAGTGGAGTGGGGCCGTTCGTGGCTGAAGCTCATCTTGCCCCTCGCCAGGGCCGTTCGCAGGACCTGCTCCGGAGCTTCTTCAGCTTCGCTTTGCAGGCCGGGTCTCCCTGAAGAGGGCAGCAAAGCTGTGCTGTTTCACAGGGCTCACTGGGACTGAGAAGCTCCCAGGAGATGCGTTTTGAGGGTGGAAAAGGCCTTCAAGTCCACTCTGTCCCACTTTTTTCCTCTGATAATTTTGGAAGCTGACAGCCCCTGTGCTCGAAGGGTTAACACCACTGCGATCCAGCTGATGAGATTTGTTAAACTCCCCACTCCATCCTACAGCACTGCTAATTACCTCTTCATAAACACAAGTCAATTAGCCAGCTTTCTCCCTGCCTGGGCCTCTCAGCCTCCTTCTCCATCACTAGCCCCATGCCTGGGACCACCTGCCTGGGTCCAGCCCCTCCCAGGCCCTGCAGAGCCCTGCCCCAAGTCTGTTTTGGAGCCTTCTGAGGATCCAGCTTGTGCTTCTTGATTAAAAGTGGAAGCACCACAGGTTGTCCTGCCTGGGAGCACGACCTCAGCAACTGCAGCTGCCCCCGCAGGAGGAGAGGGGGTGCAGGGGAGCCCGTACCCTTCTTCAAACGTGGAAAAAATGACTGCAGCAAGGAAGGCAATAAATTCTTCCCTGTGTTCAAGAGCAAGGGGTTTGCTTTGCAGGGAGAGAGATTCGGGCTGTGCGCCCGGCGTGTAAAGATTTTGAAAGGGTTGGTGAGGCACACAGGGAGGGATTAGGAAGAGCTGATTCTGCCCCTGGTTCTTGAGACTCAGCCACCACATTTTCTACTGATGCTCACAGCAGAGCAGGGGTTCAGACCGAGGAGGGGCTCTCCTGGCCACGAGCCCACTGCCCAGCCCACTGCCCCCCAGCGCTCCCCTTCGCCCGCCCGCAGGGCTGGGCTCCACTTGCTGCAGTTTTGGGTGCCAGCCCCCATGGTGGGTGGGAGGCTTGGCTCCCTGCTGCCTCCCTGGAGCAATTCCAGGCCCAAGACAAACAGCCAACAGCTGGAATAGTGTTTAAGTGCAGCTGCTGTCGTACAGATTTAAAGATGAGTAGGGATTCAAGTGGTCTGGAAGAGCTCACAATTCTTCATCAGTGCCCCAAGCTCTGTAACAGCCAACTGCCCTGCAGCCCCACAGCTGAAGATCAGTCACATCTGCCTGGAGTCCTGCAAGGCTCTGCGGGTTCCTGCAGCTCCTGGGGACTGCTTAGTCCCATGTCCCAAACCCACCATGCCCCAAACCACTCCTCCAGCTCAGATCTTCCTCAGTGCACTTCCAGGTGGGATTCTGGAGTCAGTCTTGTTGGATGTGCCAGCAGGGTGGGTGAGAAGATGCCACAGCAGGTGTCAATCAGAGGAGACAACAGGACAACTCCCACCACATGTTCCTTGTCCTGGCAGGTGCCCTTTGGGCCAGCAAGAACTGGGGCTTGGTATTATAATGGAGACTTGTAACAGGTACAGGGCATGGCAGCAAGTTTCTGTAGTATGTGTCAAACTATGAGGTGATCAAAACTATGTCACCAAAAATCCCCCTTCACTCTGCAAGGAGAGCTCTTTGCTGGTTTCTTAAAGTGGTCTGAAAGTTGAAAAACACTATTTCAAGGCACTGGAGAAGAGAAATGTTGCGGCCACTTTCATGGTGGAATGGTGCTAGTGGGGAAGAACAGGCTCTTAGCTGTGGCATTTGGACCTGAATGAGACCCAAAGAGCATGAGAAGCACAGCCCCAGCTTCAGAGGTTTCCTTTTACATGCACACTGGACGAAATGAGGCCTCATCTCAATGCCAGTAACTTGTGTGCTAGTGACACAACGTGGTGAGACTCCAACAGCCAAGCCCTGTCTACAGATGGGCTTAGAATGGTGCATTAATTAAGAGCTTTCCTCCAGGCTGGTGGCCTGGGGTGGGAAATTTCACATTGTGGGGTTTTTTATGTCGTTTGAATTTTCCATCCTTGCCATGGAAGGATGGAAATGCCCATTCCATCCTTTTCATGTCCTCCTCATCCATGCTTCCCAGGAGAAGGTGGCAATGGGGCTCTTGTGGGCACCTGCCAGTGGCCACCAGGCAGCTGGGAGACCTCTGTGTCTGTGAGGGATGTTTTCTGTCTGCTCAAGGGCTGGCAGAAGGGAGGAGGGTTGGTGGGGCTGAGGCCTGGGACAGCTTTGCAGGCAAACGCACAGAGCAACAAGTTGCTGCTTGGGAAAGTGCCCTCCATGGAGTCTGAAGTTGGCATTTTCCAAGAAAATGAAAGAAAATGCTTGTCCCTCTGCCACTGCTCAGGGACACTGGTAATATTTAATGAAGCAGTGTCCAGGCAGAGCAAGGAAGGAGGAAGAGGCAGCCAGTGAGAAGGGGATGGGAACACCCAAGGCCAAGGGAGGGACCTCACCAGCTGGGGCATTCCCAGGGTGTGCCCCCAGAATGAGGAGAGACTGCTTCAGTTCTACTTTTCATATGTTTTATTATAAAGAAAGGTAAGATAAGCATTGTGAACCAAATGTGCCAAGTGCTGCAAAAGCAGCACCCTCCAACAAAATAAAAATAAAAATCAAAAATGCACCTTATGAGGAACTGTAATTATGCTCTCTAATTTTTCATAAATAGACAAAAATCATTGTCAGCAATTTTTAAATAGATGGACATATGGCAGAAAAAATATAATAATGCCATATAACATGGATATAAATTGTCCATTTCTTGCTGTACAAATAATAGAAACAAGTTTGGCAGGCTTTTTTTTTTTTTTTTTGTAGTTTTTTTTTTTCTTTTAATACACATCTCCCTTCTATGTATAACTAAAAAAATGTGCTACCATTAATATAAAATGCTTTTACTATAAAGTAAACTACTAATTTATTTTTTTTTCACAAAAAAAAAAATCTTAAAGATGTCTTTAGCACAGCTCTAAAACACTTAGTAAACTACTTACATCTATCCAACAAATTATATTTTCATGATCTTTTTTCACATTATTTTTCCTCTCCCACTTTCTGCTCTCTCCCCCCACTGACCTTGCAATAGTTCTTTTTTGTTGGTTTTTTTTTGTTTTATTTTTTTTTTTTTGCCAGACATCCAAGGCCTTTGCATGTACAATATTCACACAAACTTCACATTTTAGTGCTGTTAGCAAGTCAAAAGAGGGCATCCTCCTACTGAGCTGGCCTAATGCTGTGGGACACGAGACATGGGCCTATGCTGCACCTAAAAGCAGTTCCCTAGGAAAAGAGTCTGTAGCTAAGCTGATGGCAAGCAGAAAAAAAGGTGTCCTTAGTCAATCTCTTTTTTTTGTTGTTGTTGATTTTGTGTTGAGTTTTTAATTTTTTATTATTTTTATTTTTTTTTTTTTTGTTCTTCACCATTTCTGAGGTTTGGGGCTTTCCATGGAAAGTTGACTTCAGAGTTCCAAAAAGAATACCCAAAGAAGACTGCTCCTGGAGCGTGGGGACGAGGCCAGCGAGGAGGTTGCAGGGGTGGCTCTCTGCTCTGCAGGACTTGCTCGGTGCCTCTCGGGTGGTCTGTAGGACAGGGACTCCCAAGTGTCCTTCGTCAGAGCCTCCTGGAGAAGGGGTGGGGAGCTCTAGGTGAGGTAGAGTGCCTTGTCCCTTGGCAGCATGCTGTAGGAGAAGTGAGAGGCACAAGGTGAGGCGGGCAGCAGCACAGGCAGGGGGTGGCCTGGGCGAGCTGGGATCAGTGTGTGCACACCCAGGCACACTCCCCTCCTCTGCTGGGCCACGGCTTTTGTGGCTCTTTGGGGTGCAGAATGTACAGTGGGGCTGCACTGGGGCACGGGGGGAACACCCTGGCACTTGAGAGTAAGAGCCTGGTGTCATTTCAGCTCTTCCTGAACTTCAGCAGCAACGGCTGAGATATAAATTCCTTCCTGGGGCATGTGTTTTGCTCTTGCTGGGGCTGCAGGGGAGGCCAGCTCTGGATGTCCCTGCAGGGGATGGCAGCATGATGCTGACAGCAGCTCCACCACCCAGTGCTGCGCCTGGAATCCACCCCTTGGCCACTGCTCCTCTTCATCACCCACTGTCCTTAGGCAAACCACGGAGATTTAGAGAACGTACACTGGTTTTGGACAATATGTGTCATTCTGACACTACAGCAGGAAGGAATTTTTGACCCTGAGGGTCAAGAGCCCCTGGCTCAGGCTGCCCAGAGAGATGGTCGCTGCCCCATCCCTGGAACCATCCCAGGGGAGGTTGGATGGAGCTCGGAGCAGCCTGCTCTAGCTGGGGATGTCCCTGTCCCTGCAGGGGGTTGGACTGGGTGGCCTTTAAAGGTCCCTCCCAACCCACACCAGTCTGGGATTCTCTGATACGTAAGGAGTAAGTGGTTTAAAAAATATGACTGGGGGGCTTATGCCTGAAGGTGCTTGTGGGTGTCAGGTGGATTTACACGAGTTTCATGGCTGAAGAGCATCGGAGCAGGAAACATCATCTGCTCAATGCCTCTCTGCTCCTTCCCAAAATAAGTATAACCAGAAAAATTAGTAATCAGGACATGAGGGGAAAAGAACCTTTGAGGATTAGCTGGTCATTGCCATGGGTCTGAAGGAGGCTGCAGAGGAGGGCTGGTGGGACAGCAGCTGGGCTGTGTGCTCTGCACATCCCTGTCCCACCACATCTTGAACTGATCTCATCATTGAAGCAATGACTTTGATTTCAAGCCATCCAGGTTTGTCCAGGAGAGGGAGTCCAGCTTCCAGCACCAGAGCAGCCTGTGTGTGCAGGGCTGCAGAGCCAGGTGTGCAGATGGGTATCCCTGCTCCTGTCCCTGCCTGTAGGTCCCATTGCCTCAACCCTCCATGGGGGCTGCCTGGGACCTCCTACTTGCCATCAGCAGTGTCCTGCTGAGCCCCTGTAGAGCCCCCCCAGTCCTCTTTTTTTCAGGACATACCAGAGGGAGGAATGGCTGAAGTCCCTCTCCTCTGGCTAACATCCTACCTGTGTTTTACTCTGAAATCCAGGCACTTGAATGGGTTTTATCACACAGATCTGATGGAAAAATCACTGGCTGCATAAAGACATCTTGGCCTTAAAAGGTGGTGGAGAACATTACAAAGCTTTGGGAGATTCTGGTGTGGGTGTGCTTACGAGTGGAACAATAGGCAAAGAGCAAGGTAATGCTGTTGGTGATGGAGCTGTCTTCTGATACAGTGCAGAAGAGTCTGCACTTCATTCCTCTCCCCATTTTATAACCTGCATTTCAAATGCAGAGTCTTCCCTACTGCACTCAGCACAGATTTAATGCCCCTGAGCAGCAGTGAGGTATTTCAGTACTAAAACTTCATTAATTTTACAAAATATGCTACAGTTCATTACGTTTCCCATACTAGGCTACGTTGCCCAGTTCATTACAAATTATTACCATAAATAATTGAATCCAAACTAAGTGCATTTGTGATGGTTTAGCCTTGCCTTTTTACAGGGTTGGCTCATTTAGTTTCTGATTTGGGAAATCTCCCCCAGGTTGGAGAGGATCACTTCATCGTTAGCAGGAATTAGCAGGGTTCTAAGTGTCTGGATGAAGTGGCTGGAGGTGGGTTCTGTGTGTCTGGACAAGGCATATCTGAGAGAGGCACCTTTTAGCCCAAAGGAGTGAGAAAGAGGGCAGAAAAGCTCCTAAATGAGGGAACCCAAAGAGAACCCATGCCTTGGACACCAAAAGATGAATCTAGCTCAGTGTTATCCCCAAAATACCTAAACGCCAGGAGATGAATGTAAATGAAACCCTGGAGACAGTTTTGGTGTGGAAAGAGTTGTAATTGGAAGACAGGGCAGAAAAAATGAGTGAGGTGCCTCGAGGAATTTAGAAAGAATTGCAGGTGCTTGTAAAGCCAGCTGCACCTTGGTCCAGGGGAGCTCCTTCCCCTGGAGAAAGTCACTCTGAAATGCAGGTATTCAGTGGGTGCCTGGGAAGGAGCAAGGGCAAGAAGAAGGCTGTCAGGGGAGGGTGATGGGACTCCAGAAGTAGTTTGTGATAGGATGGCAAAAGGCAATAAAATTGTATGCTGCAGCTGCTGGTGGGAAGTGATAGTCCCATCCTAAGCAGGAGCTGAGAAGTGCTGCCCGTGCCTTTGCTAGCCATCTAGGACAGCTTGGTCTTAAGCCCAGAAAGAGCTAGGAAAATTTGAGGGAAGTCAGTAAGCACAAAATCATTAACAATGGGGAGAACATGAGCTAGGAAACATTTAAAACTCTCTCCCTAACATGGCTGATTTATGAATTATGGAGTGTCTGCTCACAGGATCTTAGAAATTGAGGGGCATAAAGGAAGAAGTGTCATTTAATAGCACTGATAGGTTGGTGAAAAACCAAAACCATACGGCAGTTCCCTTACTTGATGGAGAAGGATGGGGAGAAAGACAACCCTGTTAGTGTTTCAGAAGTTGTCTGGATGATAAACAAAGGAAAAGGTAGATTTGAGAAGTTTTACCCAGTGCCAACACACGTTGGAAACTAAAGAAATAACCAAGATTAGACATGAAATAAGAATCTTAATCCAGAGAGCAGGCAGGAGTGCCTGTGTGAGGGGGAGGTGGTACAATCCTCTTCCAGGAACGTGGGGCTCTGCAGCTGAGCCACGTCCCAACAGAAAATAATCCTTCTTCTTCCCAGCTTCCCACTCCTCAGAGTGCTGCTTTAATTGCAATTAAGCTGAATGCAGTTTTGGGCAATGACATGATCCAGAGACTTCCTGCTTACACCCAAAGCTGTGCTGATGGATCAAACCCAACGAGATGGGCCCTCCCTTCATCCCTGCTGTGCCCACGTCCTGCTGACAGCCAGGGCCTCTCGGGCACACAGCTTCATCCTCACGGCCAGGCACCACGGGGGAGCCCAAGGGTGACTCTGAATGCCTCTGGCAGGTCAGTGTGAAGTGCCCTGGGGAGAGCAGCACGGGCAGGAAGATGAGGAGAAGCAGCTCATGTCTCCTCAGAGTGAGACACAGCCAGGCTGCAGCCCTACAGCTGGGCAGGGGTGCCACAGGCACTGCAGAGTGTGCACTTTGGTGGCAAATACCCGGGGCTAGCAGGAGCAGGAGGTGATGGTCCTGCTAATACATCAGCCTTTACACTAGAGTGGAAACAAGCCAACTTTGGGAGCTGGGCTGCCAGCAGCTCGGGTGCCTCCAGCCACTAGAGATGGGCTCCTCCCCAACAGAGACTAGCCCATTTTTCAGTGCACGAGGCACTCTTTGCAGTACTGATCTACATCCATCTGAGTTCATTGCTATAATCTACTCTAATAATTATCTGGAAGTCTGTGCATAATCCATCTGGTTTTGGAATATTTTTTTTTCTCCCAGGAAGCTGCACTAAACCCATGAAATTCAGTATTTCTGCTGAGACAAAGGCATGAAATGCATGAGCTTTGATGATGAATTGCATGGGCCTCCTGCTCACAACATGGCACTCCAGCTAGAGCTTGTTTTAGCACCACAAAACTCCATCCTGACTACGATGGGAGTGTTCCACCCCTTCCTAGAGTGCTCTGAGTTTTCTCCATGGGGCCTGGGCAGTGGATTTGCAGAGGGAATCAAGTGTTTTCCCAGCTCATCCCCTAAGTAGAGACGCTTATTTCTACAGGGGCTAATTTCTGTGGGAGCTGCCACTGCCCAGCACCTCTGGAAATTTGGATCCATGAGCCATAACCCTCCAGGCAGCTTTAACATTTTTCCCACAGCACCTATAGTGACTTTAACCCTCAAGACCCAAAGAGGTTCCTTCTTTCAGGCTGTCTGCAGAGACTTCAGGAAGGCCCACTGGAAACGTTGCTGGCAGAGCCCAGCCCAGTCCCCATGGCTGAGCCCCTCAGGCAGGCAGGCAGCAGGGATATTCTAATGGCTCAGCAAGTTATTTATTTCCCTGAAAGAAATAAATGTCTGTACAGTCTGTGCCCAGCCCAGCCATTGTAAGTGCACTGCTGGCACAGACAGGAGCCGTGCTCTGAAAAGGCTGAGAGCTTGCTATTATCTCCAGTGAAAGCACTGTGTTCCAGTACTTCAGGCAAATCAAACAATACTCAGAAGCTACCAAGCCTCCTTCCCTACCTGCTGTCCCAGCAGACCACGTGCTTGTTTGACAGAGCACAACAGCAGGCTCCAAATGAGTATTGCTGAGCCGAGGGCAGTGGGTTAGGCAGAGGCTGTAAATGGCTTTCACACCCTCCCTGTTCCCCAGTTTTGAGACCATCCTGCTGTTTATATTTATTGGGGAATTCAAACAGCACTGAAGGGAGAAGGGATCTTGGTGCTGGCACATTCATCCTAGAGCTTCATCATAAGGGGGAAGATGTGTGCAGGTGTCTGGTGCCTTCTCCTGCAAGGTGCAGGGGACTGGAGCATCGTGTGGCTTGTGGGAGGATGAGGCATTGTACACCACAGTGAACGTGTGGACATAAGGAAACACTTCTTCCCTGTGAGGGTGCCAGAGCCTCAGGCTGCCCAGAGAGGCCGTGGAGTCTCTGGGAGAGATTCAGAACTGACCTGGACACAGTCTTGTGCAACCTGCTCTGGGTGACTCTGCTTTAGCAGGAGGGTTGGACGACATGATTTCCAGCTGTCCCTTCCAACCCCACCATCCTGTGATTCTGTGAAACCCCAGGACTGATGAGAGGACCCAGTTCAAGAGACAACAATGGCAGGTTGTGCCCTCAGAGATAAGAGCAATCACTTTAGGAACAGAATGAAATTGCTTATGGACATGGGCACTTTTAAACCTCCCAGGACCCTGCCTGGGAGATGAGGGATGAGGCTTCCCTCATCTTCCTGCTCTAGAAGGGAGAGTGTCCAACTCCTCCATTGCTAATGGGATGGAACCAAAAAGAAAGGAAACTTCTCATGCCTAGCAAAGAATTTATCTGTGACTTTGAAGCTACCTGCTTCCATAATATCACTTCAGTGAGCCTACAGAGGGGATGAAACCTCAAACTCTGTTGCTCATAAGTAGCCCACCAGCTTGCTGTACATTTTAGGGCAGGTTCTCTGCTGCTGCACAAGGTCACAGTTCAGGCAATGGAAAGTGCAGTAGCAATGTGCTGGTTTGTCTACTGGCCTGCAGTGGTTAATCCCACACTCTCTGCTGGGGTAGTCGTCCCACTCAGTGCTTCCTGGAGGGTTTGATGCACCAGGTGAACGGGGCCCAACGCTGTTCTGAAACTCAGACGAAATATGTGAGAAGTCCTGCAGGGTGGAGAGGAAAGGGAGCGTTACAGGAGTGTCCACAGCAGATCTGATAATAACACAAAAACACATTTACCTGCATTGCCCCAAACCCAGGGCAGCACAGAGCACAGGGGGAGCCCCAAGGGA